AGCACTAGACTCTATTGCAATCCCAAAATCAGTACATGAAGCCTTGAAAGATAGGAATTGGGCTCAAGTCATGCAAGAGGAGATGAATGCATTGGAGAAAAATAAAACATGGGAGATTATTGATAGACCTACTGGAAAGAAAGCAGTAGGGTGCAGATGGGTTTATGCCCTGAAATATAATTCTGATGGAACTCTTGAGAGATACAAAGCTCGATTAGTTGCCAAAGGTTACTCTCAAACCTATGGCATTGATTATGAAGAAACATTTGCTCCAGTTGCAAAGATGAATACGGTGAGAGTTTTGTTATCCCTTGCTGCCCATTACAATTGGGATATAAACCAATTTGATGTGAAGAATGCTTTCCTCAATGGTGAGTTAGAAGAAGAAGTCTACATGGAAATTCCGCCTGGTTTTGATTCTGTGAAGGGAGAAAATAAAGTTTGTAAATTAAAAAAGGCCTTGTATGGATTGAAGCAGTCACCTCGTGCCTGGTTTGGAAAGTTTACTAAGGTTATGATGACCTTAGGATATAAACAAAGTTAAGGAGATCACACTCTTTTTTTCAAGCACTCCCAAAATGGGAAGCTTACTGTGCTCCTTGTATATGTTGATGATATTATTATCACAGGTGATGATTTTGTGGAGAGACAGATTCTGCAAACACGGCTTGCCTCTGAGTTTGAAGTCAAAGACCTTGGGAAACTGAGATATTTCCTAGGGATAGAAGTAGCTCATTCGAGCAAAGGAATCTTTATCAGCCAGAGGAAATATGTTCTTGATCTTCTCAAAGAAGCAGGAAAGCTCGGGTGTAAACCCTCTAATACTCCTATTGAGCAGAATCACAAGATGAGCTATGAAGAGGAGTGTCCTCCAGTTGATAAAGGACAATATCAATGGCTAGTTGGGAAATTGATATATTTGGCCCATACTAGACCAGACTTAGCTTATGTTGTTAGTGTTGTCAGTCAGTTTATGCACGATCCAAAGGAGAAACATATGCAGGCAGTAGAGAGAATTCTCCAGTATCTGAAAGGTACTCCTGGTAAAGGGTTGTTATTATGACGTGATGGCAATCTATCTTTAGAAGTCTACACAGATGCTGATTATGCAGGATCCGTGACTGACCGTCGTTCTACCACTGGTTATTGCATGGTCTTTGCGGTAACTTGGTGACATGGAGAAGTAAGAAACAAGATGTGGTCGCCAGATCAAGTGCAGAAGCTGAATTTCGAGCTATGGCTCAAGGCATTTGTGAGTTACTGTGGCTGAAAATTGTACTTGATGATCTAAAAATAAAATGTGAGGGACCTATGAAGCTGCTATGTGATAATAAGTCCGCTATTTGTATAGCTCATAATCCAGTTCAACATGATCGGATTAAACATATTGAGGTCGACCGCCATTTCATCAAAGAGAAACTTGATAGCGGGTTGATTACCACTCCATACATTCCCACTGGGCGTCAATTAGCTGATCTATTGACAAATGGGCTTTCTTCAGATAGATTTCAAGAACTTGCTAGCAAGCTGGGAATGATAAATATCCATTCCTCAGCTTGAGGGGGAGTGTTGTAAATAGTAATTATGTAGTCATTTATTTGTATTTATTTAGTCTGTTACTTGTATATTGGGCCAAGCCCATTAGGTCAAAATTAGGTCAAGAAGTCTCTATAAATAGAGACCCTTATGTACAGATTCAAATACGATTCAATAATATTTCAAATACCCTTTTATTTCAAGTTTATGATTTGTTGTTGAGTTGAATTCTACCTGTTATTTAATTGAGAGGAGTATAATATAAAATTATTAAGGTGACATTTACTCAATGAAAAGTGTCCAAGACACTATGTTTTTATGATTAAAAAGAGTTCAAATAATTATTAAAATAGTTAAAAATATAGTGTTAAAACAATAAAACAGAATGAATTGCCAACAAATGAATAAGATTCTAAATATTTGTTTTTGTTTCATGTTGTTTGGACTAGAATAACAAAGTACCAATAAGATAAGGACGAGGCAACAATGGAGTCCGCGGATCATGAAGAAAATCAAAAATTAAATAAATAATAAATAAAAAAATGTAACGCTCGTTACACTTCTCGCTCAAGCGAGCAAGTGAGCAAGCAAAATATTGAAGCTCGCCATACTCCTCGCTCAAGCGAGTGAGTAGGCGACAAGCAAAAAAATTGCTCGCTAAGCAGCTTGCTTTAGCGAGCTCCTTAGCGAGCGGTCCAGAAATCAGAAGCCCACATTTTCTCTTTAAATACGAAGCGAAGGAAGCCGTGAAAGAAAATTCTGGAACACAAGAGAAAAGTCAGAGACCGAGACGAAGCGAAGGAAAGAGCGAAAGAGAAACACTGGATCGTGGCAGAGGAGAAGGAAGGATTCAACCCTGCACCATTGATCATCACCATTAGACAAGTTTTATCATGAACTTCATTACTTTTACAGTAGCTTTAAACTCTGTTTTTATCACTATGCGTAGCTAGTTTACTTTTAGTAGTTAGGAAGATACAGAACCAACGGTTCTTAGTTGATATTTGTTTATTCTTATGAATTACATTCTTGTTTTTAAATTATGCAATCAATCTGATATGTAGTTTTATTTATGACTTGATCACTCGTAGATAAACATATGAGTCATATATGACAATATGGATGTTGGTATGTGATTCTGATTGGTTGATTGCTGAAATTTGCATGATCTAGGGATAGACTTGTGAATTTTATAACTGTGAGTTCTTGCGTTAATGCTTATTTTATGAAAAAGTACTAAGGGATTAAGCTTTGGATTAGAATAAAGGATTAAATTACCAAGGGATTGGGATTTAGTCAATTATAGAAAGAGCTGTTAATAATTTAATCGAGAATGTAATCGTAAGAATAGGCAAACTCGTTAAGAAACCATTGGGGAAGTTGAATCCTAACTATGTCTTTTTATTAAAAATCTAAACTCAATTTCTAGTATTCTAAATTCTGAATTTAATTTCTAAAATATTAAAAACCAAAAATAGTTTACAAATTCTGCTTAATCCCAATATTCTCAAGAAAACCTTTAATGATCGATCCAACTTTAGTTAACTAAATAAATTATTGCTTGGTCATCAGTCCTTGTGGGATCGACAACTTTCTTATCACTTTATTACTTGCACGACCGGTGCACTTGTCGAGTCGAGTTCGTCAACAAGTTTTTGGCGCCGTTGCCGGGAACTGATTTAATCAACATTAATTTTATTTATAAAATTATACATTGGATCATTTTTTTATTTTGTTTTGTTTTTAATTTTATTTTATTAGTTTTGTTTTTAGTTTATTTGTTTTATTTTTTTTAATTTTAATTTTATTTTAGTTTCTCTTAATTTTATTTTGCTTATTTTATTTTAGTTTCTCTTAATTTTATTTTGCTTATTTTATTTTAGTTTTATGCTATTTTTGCTATGTTTATTTTTTTGTTTTTTTTATTTTTATTGTTAGTTTAATATTTTAATTGTTATTTTTTTGTTTTGTTTTGTTATTTTGTTTTGTTTTCCTAGTTTAGTTTGTTTACTTTAAATTTTAAATTTTCTGTTAGTTAGTGGTTTCCGTTAGTTGGGTCCACTGAGCCTTAGTTTTCTGGTTTATGCATCTGCGAGGCACTGTTAATCCCAGTGACCTACAGTACGAACCAGAGTTAGGACGTTTAGAAAGAATTAATAGGAAACGTTTGACCGCGAAGAAGACGCAAGACACATCGAGCTCTAATTCTGCGGAAGAACCAGTCATGGCTGAGGAAAATCAAAATCCACCTGAAGAACTGATGAGTCACTTCTTAAACCCTAATTTCTCGCATCCGACTGCGAGTATTACAAGACCTCAAATCCAAGCCAATAATTTCGAAATAAAAGCCTCCTTCCTGAATTTAATTCAAAGTAATCTATTTGAAGGAGACCCGATCGAAGACCCAAACCGCCACATCACCAAGTTTCTACAATTGTGTAGCCTCATTAAAGCTAATAGGGTTCCTCCTGAAGAAATTCGTTTGATGCTTTTTCCCTTTTCTTTAAAAGGGAGAGCACTTAATTGGCTGGAATTGCAACCTGCGAATAACATCTCCACGTGGGAAGAATTAGTTGAAAAGTTTCAAAAGAAGTTTTTCCACTTTCTCGATTCTCCGAGCTGAAGGAACAGATTGACAACTTCAAACAGCTCGAAGGCGAATCCCTGTGTGTGGGATGGGGACGATTTAAAGAACTAATCAGGAGATGTCCGCAGTATGTTTTATCGAATGATGAGAAGGTCTGAATCTCTTACAAAGGAGTTACGTCGACATATCGAGTACTTCTTAATGCTGCGGCTGGAGGAAGCATTGGAGAAATCACTCCAACTAGGGCTATTGAGCTAATTGAAAAGATGGCATCTGAAGATAATGAGGTCACATCACTGCATCCTAAGAGAGAAGTTATGCAGTTAGAAGGGTACGATGCTTTGTTAGCCAAACAAGACAAGATGGATCAAAGACTAGATTCACTTGTTAAGCTCTTTACCCAAAATCAAATCTCTATGGCTAATTCTCAATTTCCTGTAGTGTGCAACACTTGTGGCGGACCTCATAGTGCCGATAAACGTGAAGCTATGGTTACTATAAACCCAGCTCAGGTGAATTCTCTTTGATATGACAAACGTAGGGAGAACAACCCTTATATCATCGCTTATAATCCTGGCTGGAGAAACCATTCTGCACTTTCGTATAATCAAGGAGGACCACAACAAGCTAATATGGGAATTCAACAGAGCAATCTAATCAAAAGGCACCTTGGGAAATTGCATTCAAAAAGATGTCTCAAGCTCAAACAAATTTCGCAGAAGAAACGAGAGCATCTTTAAAGAATCAAGAAGCTTCCATAAAGAATCTGGAAATTCAGATTGGTCCGCTTACCAAACAGATGGCTGAGAGGCCTCCACGAACCTTTCCTAGTAATACAATTATTAATCCCAAGGAATAATGTAATGCCATCATTACAATGGAAAGTGTGGAAAAACCAATAGTTGCACCAAGTAGTGAAAAAGATGCAGAGAAGGACAATTTTGTTGAAGAGAAAGCTGACGATCCTGTCGATACAGATGTCACAATTTTTGGAGGACCGTTAAATGATACCCCGTGTAAGAAAGTAATAAAAAAGCTTTCTTTAGAGGAAAAGATGAAATCACTTGGAGACAATCCTTATGTTAAGGTTCCTTATCCTCAGAGGTTACAGCAGCACGAGCAGAAGAAAAATTTCTCTAAATTCTTAGAGATTTTTAAGAAGCTGCACATCAATATCCCATTCGCGAAAGCTATAGAGCAAATGCCATCATATGCTAAGTTTCTAAAAGAGATCCTAACCAAGAAGCGGAAGCTCACAGTAGAAGGGTCCACTATTTTGACAGAGGAGTATAGTGCAATCACGCAGAAGAATTTACCTCTGAAATTAAAGGATCCAAGGAGTTTAAGTATTCCTTGCACGATTGGCTCAATGACAATAGAGAGAGTTTTATGTGATTTAGGTGCCAGCATCAAAGTAATGCCATTATCTATGATGAAGAAGCTGGGAATCACAGAAGTAAAGCCGATCAATATGATTCTGCAACTAGTTGACCGCTCCACCAAGCAAGCATATGGAGTAATAGAGGACATACTAGTTAAGGTGGACAAGTTCATCTTCCCGATGGACTTTGTTATCTTGGATATAGAGGAGGACGCTACTGTTCCCATGATCTTTGGGAGATCTTTCTTAGCAACCTCCGGAGCACTAATTGATGTGCCTAAAGGTGAATTGATGTTAAGGGTGGAAGAAGAAAGGGCTATTCTCAAAATGTTTGAAAAAGAAACTCCACAACCTACAACTCAGCCAGAGAAAATTTTCTTTATTGAGGAAAAGAAGGCTGAAGAAGAAGAAAAGAAAGATCATAAGCCAGATGAGAGTTGCAAGTCGGAGGTGAAGATGACAAAGCCTAAGAGCAAGGGAAAACACATCAAGACTAAGTTTAGAGCTCTTGAGGCTAAACCTTCTCGCCCATATGCACGAGAGTACTATTACGGCAAAGCAATATTTATGATAAAAGGAATGTCATCATCTTTGAATTTCGGATACAAGCCGCCATGACTAATGAAGATGTAACGTCAAGCTAATGACATTAAACAAGCGCTCTTAGGAGGCAGCCTAAGAATTTATCGTTTTTAAGTTAATTATTTTAGTTTATTTTATGATGCCAGTAGATTTTATTTTCTAGAACCATTTTAGTTTT